GCTTATGTAGATGAGGGTAGGAGTGTAGATTTGTTGTAACTGGATTTTCAGAAAGCCTATCACAAGGTGCCACATAAAAGGCTTGTAAAAAAGTATCTCTATAGCTGTAGGGAATAAGTTAGCAAATTGCATAGAAGAGTAGCTGCTACAAATCGAGTTCAGTCAAACTCGATTAATGTCACAAGTGGGGTACTTCATGATTCCGTCCTAGGACCTTTGTTAGATAGATGAAAGAATGGTCAATAAATTACTTAAATTTGCAGATGATATTAAGGTCTTGTGTGTTGCTGGCTGTGAAGAGGATGCTGCTGATTTACAAAAGTATTTAGATCGTTTAGGGAGTTGGGCAAATAAATGGCAAATAGTTTTTAATTATATCAAATGCAAGATAATGCATGTGGGTTATCATATTTTGAATTATAAGTATAATTTGGATGGGAATACCCTTAATATTGTCATAATATTGTCAATCAGTCTCTAAAGCCATCCAAATAGCACGAGTGTATGATTATTATACTTTTGTGGTATTCATTACTTAAGTAGTGAGTGTATGGCTATTATACGTTGTGGTATTCATTACTTAGGTAGTGAGTATATGGCTATTATACGTTTGTGGTATTCATAACTTAGGTAGTGAGTGTATGGCTATTATACGTTTGTGGTATTCATGACTTAGGTAGTGAGTGTATGATTATTATACTTTTGTGGTATTCATGACTTAGGTAGTGAGTGTATGATTATTATACTTTTGTGGTATTCATGACTTAGGTAGTGACATGAATACCACAAAAGTATAATAGCCATACACTCACTGCCAAAGTCATGAATACCACAAAAGTATAATAATCATACACTCATACACTCACTACCTAAGTTTATTATACGTTTGTGGTATTCATTACTTAGGTAGTGAGTGTATGATTATTATACGTTTGTGGTATTCATGACTTAGGTAGTGAGTGTATGATTATTATACGTTTGTGGTATTCATTACTTAAGTAGTGAGTGTATGATTATTATACGTTTGTGGTATTCATGACTTAGGTAGTGAGTGTATGATTATTATACTTTTGTGGTATTCATGACTTAGGTAGTGAGTGTATCATAATTATTAACTTTCTAGGAGCAGCAGCAACTATAAAATTTAGTATTCCACATAACATTTAACCCTTACGTGAGTAAAATATATATCAATTTAAGACTTATAGTTAATTATACTTGTCATAAGACATTATGTTAGGCCTTTAGGCCTATTATATCTTTTAACACTAAATTCTTAACCTAGTCCCTTTTGATATGACGAATGTGGTGTGCAGTTGAAATGCTATTAATTTATATTCTTCTAATTCTCGAAAATCCCTAAGGGATTAAATTAAGAATGAAGTGTTAAAAATGTAATAGGCTTAACATGATGTCTTATGACAAGTATAATTAATTTTAATCATGCTTAGCCAGCTTTTAAAAGGCGTTCAAACCATTATAATTTTAGACTCACTTTCTCAAATTCGTTGAACTCTACTTGCCGCCTTAACGTTTCCAAGTAATTGAGAGCGTTGATGTAATTAAGGGAATACCTGTGATAAGCTTGTCTCAGTGCTGTTGCCTTGGTACTCTGTGGAAATCATTCACAAGATACTGATAAAGAGAAAAAAGATCGGGCTCGTGAGTTACAATAATTTTATACTATAATTATTGCCCCCCAGTAGCACAGCGGTATGTCTGCGGACTTACAACGCTAGAATCTGGGTTTCGATACCCGTGGTGGGCAGAGCACAGATAGCCCATTGTGTAGCTTTGTGCTTAACTTAAAAAAAAACATACTATAACTAAGCTCTGAAGATATGCACATTATCTGTTTATCAAGGTGATGATGGCTAAGAACACTTATCCATTTTAGAATATCGTTCCTCTTTATTAGAAATTTAAAATAATTACGCTTATTAATATGTTTGTCCTTTTCCCCTCTAGATAACAGCATGCCGAAACATTGGTTACAGATTAACTGGTCACACATATGCATGTCATCAATTTATGGCATAAATCAATACAAATCAAAAACTTTTATATAGCAATTTTAAACGCAGACCAACCATCTAATCTAGAGAACAGTATACCCTGTTTCAGAGACCTGTTTCCCCGTTTAGAACACTCACTGATAGAAGGCACTGCACTAAATTTCGAAATAGCTGAAAACAACTTTTTCTACAAGTATTAGTGTCAGTCAGATGCAGTATAGTTACTGCTTTTACCTTTCAAACCTAAATCAGATAACATTTTATAAGGTTAAAAACAAGCATAAAGCATGGAACATAAAACAAGGACGTCATACAGTGCTGAAATATCAGAAACAAAGTGAATGTTTATTACTGAAAATCTTACCTTTTGAAACAGTCTCACAAGCACATCTGTGGTTTCGGTCTCACTATAGTGCAAGTGTTGAAAAATTAAGTGAAGAAATTCTTTGCAAAAGGCGTAGGTGACCTGTAATTATTTTGTTTACATATTTTAATACGAATTGGACGAAATTATTTATTTATAAGTAGATATTGATCAACAATAACTATTTTATGAGTGTTTTGTCACTAATATAAGCAGTTGAATTCCTTCCAAAATGTTTTTGGAACGCGCCAATTAAAATTCACCTGGGATTCTTAAAAAAAAAAAGAATTCAATTAAATTAGCCTGTAATATTTCCTATCAATAACACAACTTTGGTGTCATTAAGAGAGGAATCAGTTACATTCAATGAAATTAGCCTGTAATATTCCCTATCAACAACACAACTTTGGCGTCATTAGGAGAAGAATCAGTTACATTCAATGAAATTAGCCTGTAATATTTCCTATCAATAACACAACTTTGGTGTCATTAGGAGAGGAATCAATTACATTCAATGAAATTAGCCTGTAATATTCCCTATCAATAACACAACTTTGGTGTCATTAGGAGAAGAATCAATTACATTCAATGAAATTAGCCTGTAATATTCCCTATCAATAACACAACTTTGGTGTCATTAGGAGAAGAATCAATTACATTCAATGAAATTAACTTGTAACGTTCAGTATCATCAACCCAACTTTAGTGTCATCAGGAGAGGAATCAATTACATTCAATGATATTAGCCTGTAACCTTCACTGTCAATAACACAACTTTGGTGTCATTGGGAGAAGAATCAATTACACCAATGAAATTAACTTGTAACGTTCATTATCATCAACCCAACTTTGGTGTCATTAGGAGAGGAATCAATTACATTCAATGATATTAGCCTGTAACATTCACTATCAATAACACAACTTTGGTGTCATTAGGAGAGGAATCAGTTACATCAATGAAATTAACTTGTAACATTCAGTATCATCAACCCAACTTTGGTGTCATTAGGAGAGAAATCAATTACATTCAATGATATTAGCCTGTAACATTCCCTATCAACAACACAACTTTGGCGTCATTAGGAGAGGAATCAATTACATTTAATGAAATTAGCCTGTAATATTCACTATCGACAACCCAACTGTGGTGGTAATTAGGAGCATAAATAACCTTTAAGTGAATGAAAAGACAAGTTTAAGTTTATAATTCAATTAACCGTTACTAAAACTCAAATATATTCTATCCTTTCTAAGTACTAGCAAAAAAGAAACTTAAGAGTTACACTTTGTCATTGTTGGCCTGTAATTATAACAAACCTACGGAGCCCATGATAAATTGTATAGAAGAATATAATATACTCGTTTTCGCGAAAAGTATCGTTTTGACATTTCAACACAGTCAGTACTCAAATACGTAATTGTAGACTTCTTAATTTCCACAGTTATGGCTTCATTTTTCGCCTTTCTCTGTTTTAGTTTATGCGGGCATGGCCTGTGGGTTTAGAGCGCTCGACTCACCATCTGCGGGTTGCAAGTTCAAATCCCCTTCACCGAACGTGCTCACCATTTTAACCGTGGGGACATTATAATGTGAAGAATACCCCAAGAGTTGGTGGTGGATGTTGAAGATTAGCTGCCCTCCCTCTAGCCTGTTACTGCTATATCAAGGATGGCTAGCGCAGATATCTCTCGAATAGCTTTGCGCGAAATTGAAATTTTCTTTTAATTACTGTGCATGTGAATAATTATTGTCCACATGTTTCACTCCCAACAAAAGTTCCAGTTTTTCTTCATAGACAATAAAAGTTAGTCGCCACTTTATTTCTCTAACTCAAGTCAAAGTGGACTTAAGAAACATGTATCCCAAACTGATGTTGTTCCAAGGCAATTGAACATTCATGGTAAGCCAGGATTGTTCCATGGGATGGCGGACTTGAATAACAGGGGGAAAGAAACCTGGTTACTTTAAGAACCATCTCAATTCTACTCTAACATTCCTAAATTTGATTCCATAAAATTGGTAATTGCTTTATGTTACAAAATATAAATATCAAATAAAAATTAGTGTTTTCCGAATTTTGATTTAAAGTTGTATAAAAACAGCATTTCACATCTGTATCTTGACTAGCATAAACCACTGCTCAGATGGCCTTTAATTCAATGTATATCACTTCACATATATTTTAAGGCTAACATAATCCATTACACCTGAAGTGTTCTGGTAGTGCACGAAAGGCCTCTTGGGTAACGATTTGTGTCAAACACACAAAACATAAATCTGAAATGCTATTTTTACCAACAAGTTATTTCAGATCCGGAATATGCAAAATATAGGAAATGTAAGAAAAAATGCTTGAAGTCAAGTGCAATTTCAGTCATGTTTTCTTACAAATTTCCTTTATTTATTTTTTGGGGGGATAACAACGATATTGTGAAATTTCGTCTAAAAATAGATAGGAGAAATCCATGACAAAAGATACAAAAGTTGAGGTTTTATCATTCATTTTTCTATAACCTATCTAATCAGAGCTACATTTTCTAACAATTAATTTGCTTTTAATCATCATCACCACAATTTGGAACTACTTTTTGTAAAACAGGATCACTCACGCAACAGAGTTCGTCTAGATTTCCAAACAGAACTTCAGGTTGGGCAAACATCGCAAATCCTTCCACTTGTATTTTCTTCAGAGGTTCCATAAAAACCTAATGCAGAGCGCATTCATAAAAAGAAACGACAAAAACATTGAACAGTGTTATAGCACAATATAAACCAACATTTAGACGTTTTTAAGAAATTAAGTGTAAACCCTTTCAATAATTTTTCAGCAGTATATTTGGAATAATATTTAATGACAGAAACAAGTTACACTTTACATTTCCGTAAAAAATTATAATATACTTTGCTAATTTTGAAAATCCCTAATAAACTAAATAGATAATATATTGTTAAAGATATAAGAGGCTAAATTAACAATATCTTATGCAAGAACATAAGCATTTGATTCTAAGCCTTTTTTGTATATTCAATCAACAGGATGTTCAAACAACAAATACATAAATGTTTATGAGTATATTAAGGTTTCGTATATTGATAATCTATAAAGGTCTCAAAAACAAACAACAGGTTTTAATGTGTGTTTTGCAAGTAACGACATAATCTTTTTTTTCAAGTAAATGTTATCGGTGTTGCTGGCTATAATATTTAACATCATTATTTAGTTTGTACACTTATGGAGATTATGTTGCATTGTTTTACATGGATTTGGAATGGACTTACTATCCTAAATGTACCACACCCTCATGAGATATTTTGGGTTTACATCCGAAAATGTCGTTAACAGTGAGGGTACTTAATTAATGGATTAATGCATTCTAATTATAAGTGGTTTTTAGCTTTCCTGTTTACGGATTCGTGAAATTCTGTACTTTTAGGCTGTTGCTTTTATAGAATTATTTTCATTAATTTATAAACTATCTTCTACTTCCTAATTTATGTATGTAACTTACTACTGATCATAAGCTACAGTTGCTTAAATTAAGAAATACGTTAGTGATAAAATGAAAGAATATTCAAAATTATGAAACTGTTAAAAATGTATTAGTAATTATATTCACACAATACAAAATAGTTAAAGTCTAAGCATGTTTTCTATCATATTCCTTTCAACAAATTATTCATTCGACTCATGATGATAATTTAATAAAAACAAAAGTGGTTTGGTTGTTTATTAGCGTCGTAAGCCTACAGACTTACTATTGAGTTACTGGGGTGAGGAAAAGTGCAAAAGAAAAAGTGTAAAATATAAAAGTAATTCAGCAAACAACTCCATCTTAACTTAAACATTTTCTTTAGAAACATACGTTTTTTAGAACCAACAAGTGGTCGTAGAGAAACATGACCTCGCTCTGAAACAAGTCCCATAATGCTTCACGCCGCTTCAACTCTCCCTTAGTTAGAGTAGGTGTCCCTCTCATTTTTTCTAACGGAAAAATGTCGTTACTGGATGCTTCATCAAAGGAAAGACTGTGAGTGGGCCTAACGCCATTATTATTAAGAGTAACTTCACAACTAAAAATAGGCTTAACGTTTCTGTTGTTGGTAACGTCACAGGACTGTTGGTGCTCTAGGAGTGGCCTGTACGGGCTGGTATCTGAACTAATTTTCATCAGTTGATGCTCTGAAACACTGCTTCCAACACTCAGTCGTAGCTGATTAGGGTTTAAATTGCTTCGCATCTGCCGTGAAGACCGAAATTCAGATTCACTTCGAATAGAATTGGTACGCAGTAGTTTGTCTGACTCACCAAAGCCAGGCTTTAAATCTGAACGTAAAGGCGTACCGACTGAAGACGTGGAAGGGATCGACTTAGCCCTTTGTTCTTGACGTTGTTGTACCTGCTTTTCCTCAAACATACAAACAAATTCTGACCACTGCATTCCCTATAATGAAACATAAACAATAATATTGGAGAGGCAAGAGACACGATTGTGCTTTATACTAGAAGTCTTGGCTTCCGTTAAAAGGTTTGTGTTAGGTAGTACGTGTCCATTAAAGTATTTGGATAAAGTAATCTTCCGTCGGAAGGTTTGGATTAGGTTTGTGTGTTCAATGGGTTTGAGTTAGGTATATGTCCGTTAGGAGTTTTAGATTAGGTAGGTATCCGTTAGAGAGCTTGGGTCAAATAAGGTCTGTTAGAAGGTTTGGTTTAGGTACATGTGTTCGATGGGTTTGCGTTAGATATGTCTCCGCAAGAGACTTTATATTAAGTAAGTAGATGTTAGGGTGCTTAGATCAAATGCAGCTCTGTTATAAGGTTTGGATTAGATACATGTGTTCGGTGGGTTTGCGTTAGATATGTCTCCGCAAGAGACTTTATATTAAGTAAGTAGATGTTAGGGTGCTTAGATCAAATGCAGCTCTGTTATAAGGTTTGGATTAGATACATGTGTTCGGTGGGTTTGCATAAGGTATATACCCGTTAAAGAGTTTAGATTAAATACGTATTCGTAAAAGGGTTTTGGTCAGATATAAGCAGATGTACTCGACTTGTTTGAATCGCGAGTTGACAGAGTAAAGTATTCTCTTCGGACATTTAAATAATGTGAATAAAGTGTTTTGATTTGAGTCTTAAACTAGAAACGTCCTTAATATGATAATTATTGATCCGCTAACAGCGAATAATTATGTTTATAAACCAGTAATATTACTCTTATTAAGGAATTTTTCCACTTTAATGAGCGCTATTTTTTGAAAATTATCACGAACGCGTTTGGGACTATAAACTTGTACGATATAAAGTATACTAAGCTTATTTTTACACCAAATTGCTTCACTTAGAAAACAAACTGTAATATATAATTTTTAAAGTTTCTGCTAATCACACGATTGAAAATAATTCTACCCAATGTATCGAATACATTTACAATATTTATAATATTCGTTCAACGTAGAATTTCACATAATGTGTACATAATATATTTTATGAGAAGCCTTTTCCACTTGTAATATGTATATAATGGTTTGTTCGATCGTTTGTTTGCTGTATTTCATGTAAAGCTACATGAGGGCTGTCTTCACTAGCTGTCCCTAATTTTGAAGAGATAGAATAGAGGGAAAGCAGCTTGTAAGTATTATCCACCGCTAATCCTTGGGCTACTCTTAAGAGACCGAGTAGTGGAATTCCACTGTCACTTTTATAACGCACCCACGGTTCCAATGTGCAAAGTTGGATTATATATATATATTACGGTAACGGAGCTCGAACCAGTCCACAGTCCAGAAGTCTAACCATTGGGCAGCGCTTGCCCAATATATATATATATAAGGCACAGGTTATTGGAGAAAAATATCTTTCAAGCAAAGAAGTAAAATAAAAATAATAAACCTTTTCGTATATTTGATGCTTTTAACTACGTTTAGTACGAATGCCTTTCGTCAGACTCAAATGTTCGATCAAATAACGTAGAATCAATTTGTTAAGTAATGTGTGAGCAAGAGGTCATTATTTGAACTTTTGTTGTTACGTTTGTCGGCATTTTCTTTACTGTACACTTAAGATAGATAGGTAAATGCATATTATTAACAATTCTTAAAATAGTAATAAAAATTTTGTGTGTTATTTTAGAGAACAAAATTATTCTATCTTTTGTTTTGCTTAGTGGTTATTGTGTCGCACTGCAAATCTGAAGATTTTTCGTCTTGTGTCGCACTGCAAGTCTGACGATTTTTCGCCTTGTGTCGCACTGCAAATCTGAAGATTTTTCGTCTTGTGTCGCACTGCAAGTCTGAAGATTTTTCGCCTTGTGTCGCACTGCAAATCTGAAGATTTTTCGTCTTGTGTCGCACTACAAGTCTGAAGATTTTTCGTCTTGTCCACGTTTTGCTGCAACTCGGGGCTGTAGGTGATCAAAGCCCACTAGTCGGTCAGAGTAAAGTAGCCCAAGAGCTGGCAATGAATGCCATTGACTGGCTCCCTTCCTTCTACTCTGTCAGTTCAAATTTAGAGACAGTCATACGCAGATAATCCTTGTTTAGTATGTTTACGGAAAAATTCTAAATACGTTAACATATATCCCTTGTCTGGTATTCGATACTGGCGTCCTCTCTTGGCCACTTTCAAAGACAGGAAAAATTTAAGTGTTAGAAATTTTATTTCTATGGCTTTATTTTCTTACCAAATGTGGTTTCTATCTTTCAAGCATATAGCACTGATATATCAGGTTGCAAAAAAACAACAACAAACAAACAATAATCTTATCTGATACATAGAAAAGTAATGTCACGCATGTATTAGTGGAAATATTGGAAATGGAAATACGATTCCTGAAGTTAGTCTCACGAAGTCAATGTCGTCCCCTTGACGCACAGAACACGTTGAAATATCTCATTAGTAACATTAGAGTAAAATGAACTTAAAGAGTTTTACTGTTCATCATGTCATTAGATAGTCAAAAATCATGAATTAAGAAGGTGCGTATATACAATAACAGCTCTTTACGTGAGTGAGGGAATGACTGGTATTTTGTTTTTTTCGAGAACGGTACTCTAATACATATCGATTGAATTGCACTGTCTAGCTTATCTTGCCCTTTTGAGGAGTCTGTGGCAGTTATTTTGCTTTTAAACAAAAAATCCTTGTGAATATGACAACAATAAAAATAATTTATTTTCATCTAGTTTATCGTGAAGCTGTTATAATTGAATTAACTGAAAGAGAAACAAAAAATCAGAGAAAATGCAAAGCTATATTTTATGTTTAAACACTTTACATTTTTAAGTATTCTTATTGTGTGTGTACATGCAAACATTTTTTATAACACACATCCTGTCTTCATTATCTTTATCCACAAAATATGGGGATACTTGAAATTTCACCTTGTATTTCGCTAGCTGTTCGTCCACGAACTCAGATGGGGGAAGCCTGCTTAGAACCTCTTCCAGGCCACATAAGGATTCCGACTTCCCTCGATTTGATCTATCAAACTGGTTAAATACAAAGGTGCACAGTTAGAAATCACATGAATATGCTCCGTGCACAATAAAATAGCACATCAATGAGCTCCCTTGCACGGTACAAACCCCCAGCTCTTAAGTTTACTGTGATGTGTACCAACAGATGGCAGGAGGAACACAACTGATTATTTCAAGAAGGCTTGGATACTTTACGAATTCAGCTACTCGACGGTACCTTTATGTCTGTGAGAAGAAGTTACTTACAGTTTAATTCTAAATTGTATGTTTTACTTTAAAATATTTAAAGTTTTGACGTACAAAAGCTACAACTGCGAATTAAAAATAACATTAAAAAGTAACCAGTTTCCCACAGTGAGTTTACTTACTGATTAAGCATTATTTTATTACAAGTTACAGCTTTTACAGTAAGAAAGATTATTTTTTAGAAATTGGTACGATGTTCTGATCACGGATGTACTTGAGAATGATAGCACCAGTGATCGAAATGTCGTACCTGTTCTAAACCACTAATCTTCCTTGCTGTAAAAGCTGTACTTTATGATAAAATAAATACCTCAATACTGTTAAACCTAAACAAAGGCTTACGTGATAGTATTCTTCCAGTAAGAAGGAACCACTTAAGGGGCTATTAATTACGGATTCAGTCATGAATTTTGTGTGCCATTATCTGTTTAAAAGTGCAAGACCTATTTACTTACTAAACGCAGTAATGACCACGAATTTTTTCCTTTTCTGGACGAATCTACATAAAATTGAAAACAAAATGCACATAAATGTTTGATCATGATATAGAAAGAACATATAGTAAAATAAATGTATCCAAAAAATACAGCACAAAAAGTAGGTGTCTCGAAAATAACTTCTTATTTAAACATAAAACTGTCATACTCGCGCTGCCCCTAAAACAATCTCCATGATAGTTTTTCTTCACGCTTTCTAGTTATGAGAACTTAAAGCTACTTCTAGTTCGAGGTTCAAAACAAAAAGTTTGTTTTAAAGCATAATTTTGTCTTTAACATCCTTTTGTCAAATAACAGAAAATACCTGATGAAAAATGAATAATATTTGTAGTGAAAAAATATAAAAACTCAGATTAATTTGTTAAAAACAAAATCACTAAAAAAAATGATAAAATAAAAATACTTATATTTCTATAAATCTGATATGCAGCATCGCGGATTAGAGTTCTTCTTCTAGTGGTGAACAACAGAGAGTTAACTAGCGATTAAAGTTAGTGATTCATTTAGTAAAGAGTTTCTATCTTGTTGTTCATTAAGTTATTAAAAATACCTTAGACGTTTTGGGATATACTGGGTGTTTCAAAATTTGAGAAACATTAATCAAAAATACAATTACAAACATTCTAACTTTCATCAATGAGTGCTATCTTTGTTCCCAGACAAAACGTAGACTAATATTCACAGATTCATTGAGTGTATTCGTTGATTCTTAATTTTGACACATACTATAGTCTCAATTAATTTTTTTTCACTTCTTCCTGTATTCTCGCATATTTTTACCTTTGTTAGTTGAGAACCATTTGGATTTTAATAAAATGCATACTAATTATTTAGATTACCTTCAGCCACGGCAAGGCACTGCGTTGAGCCATCCAAGTCAGCTGGAAAGAAACAGTATTTTGTATGGAGCGAGTGAGAGTTACAGAGATTGCAATTGAACTCTTTTGAAATATATTATATAATTCATTAGATTGGTTAATGTTGTGTAACGTTAACTGTAGTTGATGAAAAGATATAACTTATAAGAAATACGCTGTCTCTATTTCCACATTACATAATTTACTTGAACAATAATATATCTTGCGAATTGGTCAGACACTTTCTGTAATACAGCCTTACCAATGCATATTTGTTGTAGAATACAAAAATTGTATCAATGGTAATACAAGAACTAAAACCATACCATATGATATTGTTTTTCCCCTAGTAATACAAGAACTATTACCATATGATATTGTTCATCCCCGAGTAATACAAGAACTATTACCATATGATATTATTCATCCCCTAGTAATACAAGAACTATTACCATATGATATTGTTCATCCCCTAGTAATACAAGAACTATTACCATATGATATTGTTCATCCCCTAGTAATACAAGAACTATTACCACATAATATGTTATTATCTGTATAATGCTTTGTTGTTGTTGGTTTTTTTTAGGTTTTTTTGTAGAGGAAAACCACATTTGGCTATTTGCTGTGTCCACCGCGGAGAATCGGACTTCGGATTTATGAGTTGTAAGTCCGCAAACTTACCGTTGTCCCACTACTGTCCAAAATTATATTGTTCATCCAATGTCGTTTTGTTTTTAGGTGGTAATAACTTAATACTAACAAGAAAATGAGCCTTTAGGGAGAGTGAGGGACACTAAAGAAAGTATTTATTTAGTAGAATTTCGCCATTACTGCTTCATCGGTGCATGAAAGCTGTCTATAAATGTTTCTAGTGAAGTTGTTTTCTGGAGTACTGTAATCGTATTCTTATGTTTTTAAATTGTGTATAAGATATAATAAAATTAGCTCTGTTATCGAAAGTGTCTTATCAGATTAGACTTCAACATTTATACTAAAACTTAGGATACAAAGTTTCTTACTATAGAAAATTTTAAGACTGTTTTAATTTTTATTTTCTAATTGTTAGCAGTGAACAGTGGTCTTTTTTTAGTAAATAAGATATGTTGACTTTTTTCTTTCAGTCAACAAGCAGCAGCCGTAAGAAACGTTATCAAACGTAACTAACGTCGTATCTATGGCAACAGTACTTATGATTCAGAACCAATTTTTACCTTCAGGTTGAATCTGGATCAAACTTGTCATCATAGAAGAAACAATGGATTAGGAAGAAGATGTTTTTGGAACCATTCATTACTTTAAAAGTGGGTTGAGAAGCGAAGTCTATGATATATATATTGAAGTTTTTGTACTTTTCACAATATAAGTGTAGGCGTTCGATAACTTTTTCGCAAATACTCTAGCTGTATTATTATTCGCAATAACAGTATATTTAGTAAATTCAATTAATATATAAGTGTATGAGCCCTAGCTTAAGTTTATGTATTTATTTTGCATGATTAAGAAAATAGTTCGTCAACCCTCGTTAATGACCACGAAAATTGTTTATCAGAGCAATGTTTCGAAGATCCTACTGCAGCCGTTAAAAGTGTGAAAATATTAAATCTATCATAACTTGAGTGACACCGAGATATTTCGACATTATAACAATTATAAATTATTATCGTTAGTGTTTTTATTAATGTAATGTACATATTCCAGCCGTATGATTTAAACTTTTTAAGCTGATTTTGCCAAATTACTGTGTAGTATATCGTAGCAACAGAGCAATGTCTATATTGACTGTATAGTTTATTGTAACAATAGAGCCATGTCTAATCACTGTATAGTGTACCACAAAACAAAGCCAATGTATATTCACTGTATAGTGAGTGTATCTTGAAAATCCCTAAATAAAGAATGAAGTGTTTAAAAATATAATAGGCCTAATATTAGTGTCTTGTGATAAGTGTGATTAATTATAATCATGCTTTGCCAACTTGTAAAAGGCATTAAGACCATAACAACTGTTGTTGTAACAAATGGTTTATATGAATAGTGTTATGACTGCTACTGTATTTGTTGTGTCTCAGCTGGCCTGAAAAGCTCTGGACTGAGTGAAAGACGTCGTCAGCAATGGATATGACGAGTGCTTGGAATACCACTGTTACGCATTCTTCTAATTCTAGAAAATCCCTAAGGGACTAGATAAATAATGTAGTGTTTAAAAATGTAATAGGCCTGATACTACTGTCTTATGATAAGTATAATTAATTATAATCATGCTTCGTCAGCTTGTAAAATGCATAACAATTATAAATGTATAACGGTTCATATTAAGTCTTACAGCGGCCACAATAGAATGATTGAACTTGCCCCAATAAAGAATTGTAAAGTCATTGTGTGGGTTGTCGTAATGATTTAAGGAATTTCAGTGATGTGTGAAGATTCTCTAAGTGTTTTAAATACAGAGGAGAAGAAATCACAGACAACCCTAGTAAAGTGTGCTGTAAAGATTTTTAGAACCTACAATTTCTTCGTTTCAATTGTTCACCTGCAATTCAAGCTAATATATATATATATATATATATATATATATATGTAATATTTACATCAAAAAAGAAAAGACCGCGTTACAAACAGCAAGAACAAACCTATTATAAAATATAAAATAAAACATATTTATAGTACGAAGCAAGCATTAAAAAAAGGAATAAAATACAGTCACCAGGGCACTGGCTGTAATGTGACTATATTTTACGAGGTAAGGTTTTCTTACTCACCACCCCATATGGTAGGACGTTTTCTTTCTCTTTTTCTTATTTATTTTCCCCTTATTTCTTCTGAGAGAGGTCATCTTCCCATAACTGTTTTAAGGCAGTAGAGGGTGATATAGGTGTGGGAAGTTGTGGATTTTAGCTTCCATATCTTGCTCTCTTTTTTTATTATTACTTCGTTTACTCTATTATTATTATTTCTTTACATGAGAGGCTTTTCGAATTGAGGTTAAGACTGATGGGCCCGTTTAGTATTATTAATATATATATATATATATATTATTGTTCAAACCCTAATACGATTTATGAATACTGTAAAGGTACACTAGTGGCCTCTGTTAACGACAATGTAAATCTTCATATTAGTATCAAAAATGTTCGTAACTAGAAATGCTAAGGAAACACTAAATAGTAAATGAATAAAACGTATACTGACTTGAAATTAACATAAAATATTTTTGTAAAAGGTTTGATATTAGAATTTATTCACCTTAGACGATAACCGAATATACTATCATCAAAACGCTCAATAGGTAGCGCTAATTTATTTCAAGTTAGCTACACATAATGTCTCACACATGGCTCCTGACTGTGACACATACCTTAAGCATTTGAGATAACGATTTATTTATTAAATATTTAACAAATTACAGGTGTCAAATAAGCATTTGTTTCTCACCGAGGAAGTCATTCCTGTGGGTCAACACTTGACTGTACACAAGTAAATCGCCTGGGCACATATGCATAGGCGGAATAACAACAATAGAGCTTCTTCTACGGTTTTTTCCAACACTGCTGTCATCTGATCTGTAGATATGAAAAATATTAGACAAGTCACAACAGTTTAAACAGACTAGATAGGCCCGAAACCTAGAGATCATCGTCTGTAGTGCCATCTATTTTTGTAATTATTAACTATAGTCTTCTAAATTAGGCTTAATGTGTCCAGTCGAAAAATGTAAGAAATAGTTTATTAAATTAAAGCTAATCATATTGTTATCGAAGAACAAAATTTCTCAGATTAAGAAATTAATTTTAAACTGCAAAAATAAGCTTAATATAAAAACACCAATTTCTTTTAAGTTCAATTTACATACGTGGTTAGTTGGTTTTGTGATTCGTCTTCATTGTCTCCATCTTCGCTAGTACTTTCATACCCATCGGTGATCATCTATTGAAAATATGTCCATTTAAATTAGTTTTCATGTATTTTATTCTATTGAATCAAATCTTTATAAATTAATCAAATGATTGTTTCTACTAACCATTCTGATACCTGAGAAGGAGAGTCACTATTCAGTTTTAAGTATTTAAAAAAATTCACGAATGTTCATATATCTTGATTTCTAAAGCTAGAGATCCCCTACCCTAACTTTCATGTAATACAAATAATTTTCTAGGCTGATTGCTAAAAGACAGTTGATTTGAATATTGAAGTCCTGTCTTCTCAGACGAAAGTCACAACTGAATGATTAGGTGTCTAAAGGAAGTTTTCTCCTTGTTCAGTAGCTGAAATTATAGAACCTTAATCTCTCACCTGAAGTTCACATCCAAGAAGTTCTCCATCGCAACACAGCTGACAATAAATGTCGCTAAAGGCTAAGCCCTGACTTGTTACACGAGAGCTCCTTTAACGATTTATAGAACTAATGCAAGTCATCTCACTGTCTGACAAAAAAGGCAGATGATCTAGGACTAAACTCTGGCACTCAAGTAAGTTTCTTCTCTTAAAAACACTTAGAAACTTAAACCAAGTTTGTTTGCTTTTTTAGCGTAAAATTTTCTGAAAACAATTACGAAAACTATTCTCGACTTTTACCCATAAGTTGAAATGTAATGTAGGTTGCCCCCTTTTTTTAGTGAGTACTTGAATACATCAGTGGGCTGATATCCTGTTTGTCACATCACAAGTGGTAGTTAGATTGCTACGTCGAACTTATCTTTTTGGTCTAGAACTTGAAGAAACTGGAGATATTTCCTCATTATAATATACTTATACCAACATGGGAAAAAATGTATCGTGAATCGATAAGTTAGTCGAAAGTCTTATTCCTCAAAGCCGTGTAATGAACAGGAAACGTTTTAAAACTTTTCTATCGCAAGCAAAGTAATTGATAATAAAGACTGGAAGCAGTAGTATTTAAAAAAATGTGTTCGGATAACGATGGTTCAGAAAAGCTGTTGTTTTGTGCAAAAGTATAAAAACAAGCATGTATTTGAATAATAAATATACATTATCCAATGAACGTTCTGGGTTCGTGTATGGTAGAGAGAAAAAAACAAGCAGGTTTCAAACAGTACTATTTTACATTCTTTATCACCAGGAGGATTTTTCAAATATATAATAATAAATATACATTATCTAATGAACGTTCTGGGTTCGTGTATGGTAGAGAGAAAAAAACAGCAGATTTCAAACAGTACTATTTTACATTCGTTATCATCTGGAGGATGTTTTCAATATTCTACTTTCTAATTTAGTTTACCCACCTAACGCAAGGGGATAAATTGACAACACGTTTCATCTATTTTAATGAGATAAAAGTATTACTTTTTGTTACACTTATGTTATAATGGTATATTTTCCTGCACATATAATGTCGACTCTAAACTCAGCTCAATAATATTTCATAACATCATTCTAACACATTCTGTAGATTTAATATTTACTTGTAACGGGTTTTGGCATATCTCTATAGTTTGAAGATTCACAAATACGTCATCTTTTTTGTTTTTAAATTTTAGTTTACTAACCTACTTTGTATTGTTTTTATAAATATTTTGATAGACTGAATTTTAGATGTAGTCTTCAAGTTTTCTTTTGTAGGACTAAAGAGTGGTATCAATTAGCTAAAAATAGGCACCAGTCAGAAATTATAATAAATTATTACTTATTTTGTCTTGCGCGAATGAAATTTTGTTTTCATATATGTATGTTTTTATATTAGGTGTCAAGAAAGTAATGTCGAGTGTTGGAACACGTTCATTAACCACCCCCAAAAAAACGTACAGTTCGTATAGTAGTTACACAAACTGCCGAAACGTCACGTCAGTGTAGCCTATATAATGTGTAAAGTTTAGTATACTCTAATTCCTTATAGTGATAGCACACAATGATACACACATTGGGCATGTAATGTTGTTTGAATACAAGAAGGGAAACAATGCCTCTGTAGCCACAAAGAATATCAAAGAAGTTCATGGAAATGTTTTGAACGTTCGTAAGTGTCAACGATGGTTCAGCAAATTTCGTTCAGGTGACTTTAGCGTTAAGAACTGTGATGGCAGGGCCCGACATCTTGGAATTGATACTGATGCTCTGAAGACGCTTGTTGAGTCTAACCCAAGACAATACACTCGTGAAGTGGCCCAGAAATTGCATGCCTCTCATGAATCAATACGTTAACATTTAAGGAATATGGGAAAACTCCTTAAAGAAGGTGTTTGGGTGCCTCACGAACTCTCCAATGATCATCGTTTCCAACGTGTTAACGTTGTTTAGTCTCTTCTGGCGCGTAATGCGCGTGGACCATTTTTGGACAGAATTGTCACCGGTGATGAAAAATGGATTATTTATGCGAATAGTAAATGCCAAAAAAAAATGGTTCACAAAAACGACTTCCGACCCAAAACCTGGACTCGATCAGCAGAAAGTGATGCTTTGCATTTGGTGGGAAATCAAAGGAGTAATTCATTTCGAACTCCTCAATCCACAGCGAATTGTCAATGCAGAGATCGATAGTCAGAAACTAGAACGTTTAAATCAAGCCCTTCATCAGAAACGCCCTTCACTCGACAATCAGAAAGGTGTTC